TGATAATTTTTAAATCAAAATTGGATGCTTTTCTAACAGCTATGCTCTAGGAATTATTTGGGTTTCAAGTTCTATGGCCTGTTTTATACAGATCAGACTGGGTGATCACCATGGTCCCTTCTGATACTGGAATCTATGAGAAAGGAAGTATCATCCCCATTTTACAAATAGAGAACTGGGTCAGAAACAAACAAGGGCTAGAGCCACGAAAGAAGGTGCAAGGAGGTGGGGGGGGGGGGGAAACTTAGGCTCAGTATTGCAATGCCTGACTTCAGGTGCCCTGCCATCCAGTGGAATCCTCAGCTCTGACTTAGACACCCAGACTCCATATACAATGCATATGGAGAGTTAGGTGCCTAAGAATGGGACTCTCAAAAGTCAGCACACTGAGTAGGGACCTGTCTAAACTAGCCAGTAGGAAACGGTGAGGAGCCCTGCCCCACAAAGGTAATTACGTACTTATCTCTGCTTCAGATGTACAGCCATGAATCGTCTCCTACAATTAGATGCCTAAGCCAGTCACCCCTTTCTTGCAAAAAAAAAAAAGGGGGGGGGGGGCAGGGGGAAGAGATGGTTGTGGTCACAATGCCCTTACATCCTCTAGTTCAGCAGTTAGCACTTACTAGGGATGTGAGAGACCTGGGTTCAAATACCCATTCTGCCTGATTTGGAAGTGGGATCTGAACCTGAATGAGTGGCCTAACCATGGGGAAATAGGGTGGGTCTCTCTCAATCTTTCCTATTGAAGTTGTTCCACTCTGTAGGAAATACTTAAATATTCACTGGGCCAGAAAAAGAGAGAGTGTGCGAACGACTTGGCTAGAGTTTTTTCTCATCTCTCTCTCTCTCTGGCCCAATTAATATTTACATATTTCCTACAGAGAGGAACAACTTCAACATGAGAGATTGAGAGAGACATACCCCAAAATACCTGTAAACCAGTGGCTAGGCCACTTATCTAGGACAGACAGGTTCAAATCCCTGCTCCAAAACAGGAAGAGCAGCAATCTGAACTTGGGTTTCACACATCCCAGGTGAGTGCTCTAACCACTGGGCTACAGCTTATAAGTGGACCACTGCTACTTTCTTCTCCCTGTGGCTTAGGCATGCGCTAAGAATGCCTAATGGATTGGGCCCTGCAGGCAAGATAGATGGGGAATGCCTAATTTGAAAATCCCACTGGGGCTTACACACCATACTCCTGGGGAAATTCTGCAGGTCTACACGCCCACAGAAAACGCCCCCGCAGAATTCCTGTGCTTCCCTGTAGAAAATGACAGGGAAGCCACTAGGCCTTGGGCACAGTTTGGGCGGGCGGGGGTCATTGCTCTCCCCCAAAACAGAGATGAGGCATGGGGGGGACACGGGATTACGTGCCACTGCCCCCACCCCACCCCCATTTCTGCAAGCACAGAGCTGCCCAGTTTAAGGAGGCTGTGTCTCGGCTCCCCTGATTCTGTAGTTGAACGCTGCCTCCTGGGTCCTAGTGCCAGTTGTGCTCTCCTTCTATGTGCTGGGAGCCTTCCTGTTTTCTGTGCAACAGTGAGTGCCCACAGTGGGGCTGGGTAAAGAGGGGGTGGGGGAAATGAGGGAAGAGGGGTGAGGGAGTGGGGAGGAGGCGGCAGTGGGGAAGGAAGGGAGGGTGGAATAGGGCAGGGGGAGGGGAATGCAGGAGTGAGGGGAGGGGGATGAGAGGGGAATCGTGGAGGGAAGCAGAAGTGCAGCATGCGCCGTCCTCTTGGCAGCAGCTGGGACTCCCCCGTTAAGAAGGCCCATCGAACCCTCACCCTGACAAGCCCTATCTCCCAACACCTGGGCCCCTCCCCAACGAGCTCCCCACGCCCAAACTCCCACCCTGATGAGCCCCAACCAGCTGCACCTGTACCCCCATCAAGGCCCACTCCCCCAGCACCTGGACCCTCCCTCTAAGTCCCCCACACCCAGACCTCCCTGCTGAGCCCCAACCACCTTCACCTGGATCCCTTGCAGAGTCTCATTGCCCCTGCACCCGGAACCCCCACAACAAGCCCCTGTGCATCCAGATCTCTCACTGAGCCGCCTGCACCCAGACTGCCCCACACAGAAACCTCTCACCCCACACACTGGCCTATGTTCCCCACTGCCATGTGGGGCCACATTTATTTACTGACAAGAAACCTTTGCAAAATTTTGCAGAATTTTAAAATATTATGCACATAATTTTTATTTTTTTGGTGCAGAATTCCCTCAGGAGTAACACCAAGCTGCTCAGTGGCATCAGGACTTACTTAGGCGGCTTTGCATATGGCCACCAGCAGAAACTTAGGTCCCTTAAGGATTTACCAGTAGAAACTTGATGAAAAGTAGTTGAGGTTGTTGAAAAGGGGAACTGATGGGAAGAGTACAGATGGGCCGTAGAATGACTTAACTGTTGCTGTTTTTCCCTTGCTTGTTGTGGTTTGCTTTATAGAAATATGCCATTTAGCAACCTTAACTCAAAGTTAATGGATCTTTTTGTGTTGAATTATACAGAACATTAAAAACCTGTGTCCAAACCTACTGATGATCAAAGAAAAGCATCAAGACTAAGACTAGCTTTCCCCCTCCCACCCCACTAACAGGGAAAGTATTAAAAAGGATCAAATACAGGAACATATATAATACAAGTCAAAATCAAGTACATATGTATTTATGAAATATTCCTTAAGAGTCAATATGAAATTCAATTTTATTCTGTAATAAAAGTTCCCACATTTCTAAGAAACAGCTAGCATATTGTGACAGTTCAATCATCTACTCATTTCTGTGTTTTTCCAGAACACAGCACCATACACGTTTACTCATGTCAAAAATATGCATCTAGAGTTTAGCATACACATGTAATAATGTACACCTCTACCCCGATATAAGGCTGTCCTCGGGAGCCAAAAAAAAAAAAAAAAATCTTACCGCATTATAGGTGAAACTGCATTATATCGAACTTGCTTTGATCCGCCCTTCCCCCCCCCCCAGCACTGCTTTACCGCGTTAAACCCAAATTCGTGTTATATCAGGTCGCGTTATATCGGGGTAGAGGTGTATTACATTAACATAACATGAGAATAGTATTCATTTCAACCATGAGAAACTAACATTTCAATTATCCTTTTTAATTACTGTACATTGTCCTCTTCACTACTTTAGTGACTTACAACACACACAACACTTCTGAAACAAACTTCACTATCCAGCCTGAGACCAGAAGTCTCTTCCTTAGAGCAGATCATACAATCTCACTTTGAATATTTTCTAGGTTCCTTCTTAGCAATACATAGATGTATCCAATAAGATAACAGTCAAAAGAAATAAATTCCCTGGCTCATTAGTATATAGGAAAACCAAAGACCTCCTCTACCATCTAGAGGAGTATATGCGACTGTACATTGAAACTTGATTAACAAGTGGTATATCAAAAACTTACAACTTTTTACATATAATAATGAAATAGGTAGTCTAAAATTCCCAAATGTTAATATTTTACTGGATTTTTTCTTTATATGCATAATCCTTCCATAAAGCAGTGACAAAGTAATCCCTGGTGACAGAACTTGTTTTTGCAGTTACAATGACAAAGTTGTTGTTTTATTTCACATAAAATGAAATCAAAGCATTGTTGGTTTTGAAAAGTGACCAGAAAACACCAAATCCATCATTTTGTAACAGGATTTAACTTTAACCAAATAATCCTGCACTATAAAGGTTTTATTTGAGAACGTTGCTACAATCCCTTGTTGATCTCCTTAAAGTTTTCTTAATGGGATTTGCAATTTTTTCCCCAATGTTATTAAAACTGTATGAATACTTAAGATGCCATCATCCACTCTGAAAGTAAACCACGGGATTTTTTCCCATTTTCAGAATTTACACAGTTTTGAAGTCCTGCAATTCTGATAATTTCTAAGGACCAGTCGTTTAGACCCACTCCTCCCTAGTCACTTCCACACATTCCTCGAGAGCTAGGTGCGATCTGTAATTTACATTCAGCTGAGAATCTAGAAGTTACATACATCGATCACCAGTAAGGATCATGAATAAAACGGCTGCTGTTTGCACAAAAGCAGGCAGAGGCTTCGTTTTAAAAGTTACCCTATAATTTACCTTCTTGAATCGCAATTTATAAAATGTGTGACCTGCAAGACACCGAAAAAAATAAGCCAAGTCCTCTGCAAACATTCTCAGAATTACATGAAGATACTGCTCCATTGGTGCAACTTTCTGCGTGTAGACATGCCCTAAATTGCAATCCAGTACCTGTGCAACTCTGAGACGCTGAAAACGCCAGCAGCTTTTACCCATAGGACTGCATTCAAGTTTTATACCCATTGGACCGGATTTCCCCGCTTTCACCAGTGTAACTCCATTGCCTTAAGGAGGTTGCTTCCGATTTACCCTGGTGTAAGTAGGAAGCGAATCAGGGCCATCCTTTAGAAAAACACTCCGATATTGAATTTCACGCATACCATCTAAAACCCCCTCCACTCCCCTCCCGGGTTTCTCTTTGATCACACCGCCTCGGCAACTTTGTAATCCCCCCCGCGCAGGGCCAGCCAGGGGTCGGGCTCCAGAGGGAGAGCACGAGGAAAGTTTGCAAAGCCTCTCTGCGAGGCAGCGAGCCCCCCGCGCTCACAGCCAGCCGGAGAGGGAGGTCCGAGGGAGAAGCCACAAATCCGGGAGCTGGAGCGCTGCCCTGGCCAGGAAAGTTAGCAGCTCAGCAGCAGAGGAACGTGCCCCCTGCGCGGCGCTCTAGGTGCGCCTCCATGCCTGTCACTCCCCCGCTCCCCCTTTGTGCCCGGCTCCCGGAGCAGCTCTCCGCTCCCTCCCCCAGCACCCGCCCAGGCAGCGGACCGGCGGAGCCCGGGCTCCGCGGCTGCCTGCCGGGGAAGCAGGAAGAGCAGGAGGCCCCGGCGGCATTGCAGCCCCCGCTCCCCCCCCCTTCCCTTGCCCAAGGCGCCGGTCCCAGCCCGCCGCCCCCGCGGGCTCACCTCGCTCCGGCTCGGCTTGCAGGCAGGTGGGGATGTTCTTCTTCCAGCCTGGCATGGTTCCCGCGCGCACCCGGCTCCTCACGGCTGCTGCTGCGGCGGCGGGCGGCACATTGCAGTGCGAGGCGGCGCCCCCTCCTCCTCCCGCACTCCGGGGGGAACTCGGCGGCTCCTCCGGGCAGCGGCAGCCTCGCTGTGGCAGGGAGGGAAGGGGAGGGGGCGAGCAGCTAGGAGGGGACGGGGGTGGGGGGGGGGGGTTCAGCCGGGGACAGGGCGGGGTGGGAAGGGCGCTCGCCTCTGCGTTCCGCCGCCGGCCGCACAATGGAGACGACGAGCGGCGCTGGGTCCTGGCGGCGGGGCCCCAGCGGACTCCCCGCAAGGCAGGCAGGGAGGGGGTGTGAACCAGGCGCCGCGCAGGGCGGGGGAGGGCAGCACCTCCCCGCTTGGCCTCCAGGTAAGAGGCGAGTGCCGCGGGTCTCTCCCTCCTCCGCCTGCAGGCAGAGCGGAGTATTGTCTTGGGGAACAGCGCACCCCGAATCCGTAGCCCCACGCCTGGCTTCCTTGTCACCCGGGGCCAAAGTATTTATCAAAGCACCAACTTCTGCCCACTCAGAAGGCAGGTGGTTTGCCTGTAGAGGCAATCAATCTGCTCCTGTGGAGGATGAGTGTTCAGCTACAAACAGATCAACAAGAGCCTGCAGCTCAGAAAACTCCTGCAGCTTTAGGGCAGGACTGCTCTTTGCCAAGACATCCCCCTACAGCCCATTTTGGCCTTTTAGAAGGAGCTACTACAGGCACAGCTGAACAAAGGGTCCTGCACTGGGTCTTTCTCATTTGTAATGGGAAATGTATCTAAAGACATTGTTTCTGCCTGCAACAATTATCAAATTCATTTTAGGATGGAAAGAGGCCGTCTGCATCTAGATTCCCCTCCTCCACTGAAACAGCTGTTTCATCTTACATTGTCTCCAAGGGGGGAGGGGGAGGGTCTAAATCTGTTCTGACAGCATAAATCATGAAATAACTTGATCACTTTCAAAACAGGTGGGTTTGGGAGAGGAGATTTCTTGCTAGAATAATATAAGAACAGCCATACTGGGTCAGACCAATGGTCCATCTAGCCCAGTGTCCTGGCTTCCAACCATGGCCAGTGCCAGGTGCTTCAGAGGTAATGAACAGAACAGGTAATCATCAAGTGGTCCATCCTCTGTCGCCCATTCATAGCTTCTGGCAAACAGAAGCTAGGGACACCATCCTGGCCCATCAAGGCTAATAGCCACTGATGGACCTATGCTCCATGAACTTATCTAGCTTTTTTTTTTTTAATCTGTTAGTGTTTTGGCCTTCACAACATCCTCTGGCAAGGAGTTCCACAGATTGACTGTGTGTTGAATGAAGAAATACTTCCATTTATTTATTTTAAACCTGCTACCTACTAATTTCATTTGGTGACCCCTAGTTCTTGTGCTATGAGAAGGAGTAAATAACACTTCCTTATCTACTCTCTCCATACCTGTCATGATTTTATAGACCTCTATCATATCCTCCCTTAGTCATCTCTTTTCCAAGCTGAAAAGTCCCAGTTTTATTAATCTCTTTTCATATGGAAGCTGTTCCATACCCCTAATAATTTGTATTGCCCTTTTCTGTACCTTTTCCAATTCCAATATATCTTTTTTGAGATGGAGCGACCACATCTGCACGCAGTATTCAAGAGGCGGGCGTACCATGGATTTATATAGAGGCAGTATGATATTCTCTGTCTTATTATCTATCCCTTTCCTAATGACCAAAAACAATCTGGAGATATTGTGGTGAGTCACTGTGCATTGACAATCACACCTTAGATTCTAGTCAAGTCAATGCCCAAAAATTTCATTAACATTTAAGATTGAGCCACAGTGCCCCTTGCCCTAGAATACTGAGTGCATCTATACTTGCCCATCTGGGAAAAAAAAATCAGGAAATAAATCAAAGGTACACACCACCCCTTGGGAATAGTATCGCCAGCCCCGAGATCAAAAGACCCATATTTGCACCACAGTCTCCTAGGACCTATTGCAGCATACCAGTTTTCAGGACAACCTCCTCAGGCCTGCAGATTTTAGAGCACTTTAATTATTAGAGCCAGCTCCTTATTGGGGAAGCTGTATCTGGGGAACTCCTTAATCAAATGACCTCAATTTGCACTGCTGACTCAATGCCTGGCACAGCAATATTATGACAGGGCAGAAGTGCCACCACATTTAAACTTATGCCAGCTTTTATATTTTAATGGGGGGGAAAGAGCTACAAAATTTTCTGGGTTTGGGGGTAGCATGTCCCTTTAAAACCCTTATTGTAGTTTGAGTACTTCTTAATTTTTCTAAGGCAGCTTGTAGAGGGAAAAATATTTTTAGATGTTTGCTATGACTGTTTTAAAAGGGAGTTACATGGCTAAACTTTTTCTAGTGTCTAACGTTCCCTTCAAACTCCTTTTTCACAGAAACCACAGTATTTTGAGGGGTGAAATTGATAAGTGTGAACCTTTGCTTTGTGGAGATTGGATGAATTATTGTAGAAAGTTAGGGGAAGGGAAAATCCCTGTTTATTTTTCATGATAAACAAATTAGTGTTTTAACTGATGACAGCATCCTAGCAGCACATTTGTCAATGTTGATAGTAAACCAGTCCTTAAAGTAGGGCTCTCTTGTGAGTGCGTTTACTGATGCTCAGATACCCCTTGGATCCTGATGACGTTGAGGAGAATCACAGCTACTTGCTTTTCTTTGATTTCCATCCCATTGTTGAAGAAAAGGGTGAATAGCATGCAGCATGATTGCATTCCCCTAATGCTACTGCTTCCTAGAGTCTTTCATCTTCTCTTTAGGTAATGTTATTTCCCTTCCCAATACTTCTAAAGAAAAATTGGAGTATACATTTGAATTTTAGAGAACTCCAAAATATTGACTCTTAAATTAAAAGCTTTGCTCTCAAGGCAAGATGTCCAGAAGGTGCTCCTGCAGAATGCAGGCAGAAAGCAACTAGTATGCACAACACATGTTCTTAAAAAGCTGTCCAGGTGAGGATTCAAACTTACAGTACATGGGTGCCAGTCATGTTCAGTGGCCACACAATGTCTCCTGGAGTCACCCACTTACTGATCTCAGGCTGCTTGCAAACTCTCGGCTTGCGACAGAACTCCCGTCCTGCTATACAGGTGCAAATGACTTTCTCTAGCTTGTCAACTTGGCCCAAATCACATTACAGATCCAACTTTTACCCTGAATACCTTTTTAAATATTGCTTCCCCAAAGGAGCAGTAAGTGCTGGACACTAGTTGAGATCAATTCTGAATGGGTGATACCTGTTTAGGGAGGATCAGAGCCATAGTTTGATCCCAGGTTAAGGGCATGGATGGACAGATACAATTTTGATTTAAGGAATTTCAGTTTCTCAGGAATCCTTTGCTCAAATGACCTCCTCCCGACGCTCATGAGACAGCACTTTTCAAGCAACCTGAATAAGCATATAGATTTTAGAGTACTTTGAAAATTGACTGTTAAACTGTAAGCTAGTCTCAACCTTAACTATAGTGGTGCTACTCCCCCAGAATAAGAGAGGTTCTGGTTGCATATGGAGCCTGGACCTTGCAAAGGTAGAAGTGGGGGATGTTCTCCTCACCTCTGATTCCCAATGTGATTTCTGGACCAAATTGGTTTAGTAAGCACATATAAAATATAGTATATAGCCACCAGTGTTTGGTCTATTTTCTTGTCTGTTTTTCCCTCATCTAATGTTGGCCAGCCATTGGGTTTAGGCAGCATTGTCATGCCTATGATCTCTATGTAAAAAACTGTTTTATTGAAAGAAAGCCCCTCAGAATAGATACTGGTTTCAGAGTAGCAGCCATGTTAGTCTGTATCTGCAAAAAGAACTGGAGTATTTGTGGCACCTTAGAGACTACAAATTTATTTGAGCATAAGCTTTCGTGGGCTACAGCCTACTTCATCGGATGAATGTAGTGGAAAATACAGTAGGAAGATATATATACACAGAGAACATGAAACAATGGGTGTTACTATACACACTATAAGGAGAGTGATCAGTTAAGTTGAGCTTTTATCAGCAGGAGAGAAAAAAACCCTGTTTGTAGTGGTAATGAAAATGGCCCATTTCCAGCAATTGACAAGGAGATATGAGGAACTGTAGGGGGAGAGGGGGAATAAGCATGGGGAAATAGTTTTACTTTGAAGTATTTGACTAGTTTTACAACAGGCTACATAAAAAGCACTAGCAAAGTCAGTACAAACTAAAATTTCATACCGACAATGGCTGGTTTATACTGCTCTATATGCTATACACTGAAATGTAAGTACAATATTTATATTCCATTTGATTTATTTTGTAAATATATGGTAAAAATAAGAAAGTAAGCAATTTTTCAGTAATAGCGTGCTGTGACACTTCTGTATATTTATGTCTGATTTTTAAGCAAGTAGTTTTTAAGTGAGGTGAAACTTGGGAGTACGCAAGACAAATCAGACCCCTGAAAGGGGTACAATAGTCTGGAAAGGTTGAGAGCCACTGGTTTAGAGGATACACCCAATAAACAAACAGATACGCACACAAGCTCTGAAGTGCATATGCATCTGAACGTATTGATGAATCTCATGGCCACGATGTACACACTTCAAGCTCTTAACAGATAACAATTTAAAGATCTGACACACTAAAATGGGAAGAAAATGCAAATCTGTTTCAGAATACAAGGAAGTATTTGAAAATTTAAAAAAACAAAAACAGGAGAAAAGGATGAAGTTGCATGTAAATGGTGTGGCCCAATTATTAAATGTAAATATTTATCGGCTTATAGTTCTAAGTCTACAACAGTAAACTGTTATTCAAATGAAAAGTTGTATTTGGGGATTAGAGATACATTGTTTTCTTAAACAGAGGTGGCATTGTGTTTTGAGTTCTGTTTTAGTTCTGCAGCAAACTACATTGAATTCCATTAATCAAAGCATGAATCTACTGAATATTTTTCCCCCTGTCTTTTCTATCCAC